AAATACAAACAATGGGGGCTGGTGAGATGGCTCAGTGGTCTAAAGCACTTACTTAGAACAAGCTTAGCAAAGCACAGGGACCGCAGTTCAATCCCCAAGCACCACATGCCAGCCAGCCCCGCCCCCTGGTGGACTGAGCTGGCCACACACACACACACACACACACAAATACAAACAATGAAAGCCGGGGAGATGGCTCAGCAGAATAAGCGCTTCCCTGGCAAGCACAAGGCCCTGAGTTCAATCCCCACTTTCAGGAAAAAAAACAAAAAACAAAAAACAATGTCAGATGTGATGGAGCACACCTGTAATCCCAGCACTCAGAAGGCTGAGGCAAGAGGATCACTACAAGATGGAAGCCAGCCTGGGCTAAAAAGTGAGTTCAAGGCCATCCTGAACTGTACAGCAAGACCTTGTCTTTATTTAATTAAAAAAAAAAAAAAGATCAAAGAAAGACAAACTCCATATGTGAACTATATATCAATAATGCTATAAAGTAAAAAGACACAGTCCAGTTCAGGGCACAAGGAGCTAAGGAACTTCTGGCCTGGCTCCCCACCAATGCTCAGCACAAGTACCCAAGCCCAGCACAAGCCAGCCCTGCCCCATCTGCCTCCCCAGCAATGCGGACAGGTCCAGCCCCAAGCTCCTGCCTCACTGAGAGACAACCACAGAGGCAAGGCCCAGTACACTCAGGAGCCCACAGTGCCAGCAAAGGTGTCCCGCCAATGCCACCTCTGGCACTAGCCAGCCTGGGCCCTCAATAGAATTCTTTTTTTTTTTTTTTTTAAATTTGTGTGTGTGTGTGTGTGTGTGTGTGTGTGTCCCCAGCTCAGCCCATCAGGGGGTGGGGCTGGCTGGCATGTGGTGCTGGGGGATTGAACTGCGGTCCCTGTGCTTTGCTAAGCTTGTTCTAAGTAGGTGCTTTAGACCACTGAGCCATCTCACCAGCCCCCTCAATAGAATTCTTCCAAACACAGGGCCCCCACAAATGCCAGGGTCTTGTCAAGTCCACTGGGAACATTGTCTGCTGAGAATGAGAGCCGACAATGTCCAGCATTCTGAGTCTAACTCATTAAAATCCCAAGTATTCCCCATCAGGATCCAAGTATCCATCAGTCACCCCTAGGGTGACAACATACCTCCTGTCCCTCATATGGAGCTTCAGTGCACCCTCAGGAACTACCAGCACCACCTAGGCCCCAGCAGTGGTGACAGACGGAGGAGGGTCTGGTACAGGGCAAGGTGCTTCTGCCATCTCACCACACAAGGCTCTCAGGGGATAGCTGAGCATAGTGCCTCATGTCCTCTTCTCAAGCAGCCTGTCGTACCTCCAGCAGAAAGGACATGGTCACAGCAAATGCTCCCTCACCCCAGATGGAGGAGGACAGAGGCTGAGCCACAGGTGGCCATGGGCCAGGTGCTCCATGAGCTGTCCCACAGCAGCTCAGTACACGTGGCCCCCTCAGGCTGTAGCCCCAGTTCTGTGTGTGGCTGGTTTGCATCTTACCACTTGCCAATATGATAAGGACAAAATGTAACCTGCAGAAGCAGAGAAACCTCAGACAGGACTGATCGGCCAGAAAAACATGGAGAGAATCAGGAGCAAAAAATGACACTGTCATCCATGCAGACCCACAACTCAGAATGTGGCACACTTGTCATCCCAGCCACTCAGAAGGCTGAGGCAGAGTGATTACAGCAAGTTCAAGGCCAGCTCAGGGAACTTAAGAGAATTAGTGAGACTGTCTCAAAATAAAATAAACTAAACTAAAATAAAATAGCTAAACATGTACAATACCTCCATCCCTAGTTTGGAGAGGTGTCCCCTCTATTGCGCCCCAATAGAAAAGTTGCCTCATCAACTTATTTTTAACTTTTTGATGTCTTAGGAGCTCTCCTGTTTCTTAAGGAAAATGCATGACTTCCTTTGGCATCAGGCCTGGGGGCTTCCTGGGAAGGGAAGGAAGGACACCAGTTGGCTCAGCCCACTCCCTCACCCGCCACCTTGCCAATGTCTACAACATCGCACTCTAAGAAAAAAAGCTTTCACAGCCTGGAGGACAGGACTCGGGAGGCTTGTTGGGAAGCTTCTGGATACTCCACTATGAGAGAAACAGATTGAGTGAGTTTATTAAACTCAGCACAAACAAAGGGGCCTTTTGCCCCATAGCCAGCTGGCAGTGAGGCTGGCTGGGGAGCTGGACACCTCTTCTTGTTAGAAGCCAGCAAGTGGCAGCCTCACTCCAGTCTCCTCTGGCCTCATGTTGCTGTGTGGCCCCTACAGGACAGGTCACTCACTGCAGAGGGGCTGCACAAGAGACTGGGCTTTCATGTCTCCCCAAATGTCAGCTGCCCCCTCCCCAAGTTGGGACCACCAGCAGTAGGGACTTATTGCACCCATGGGTGGAACCTGGGTCACAAGCTACAAAGAGACATTAGAGAACCCCAATACAAAGCCCAGTCCAGGTTCTACCCACTGTTTCACTTCTACCTCAGTTTCCTCACCCATTCTGACAGGGTCACCTCGCACAGCTCCAGCCTGTCTCTACTGCTTTCCTCAGGCTGCTGACATAAGTTCTCAGAACCTGCACTGACCACCCAGCAACCAGGGACTGGCCACCAGCCAGAATGCCCTGCTGTTGCCCACACGCCACCGTGACATGCCTGTATTACTCGGAACTCAGACAGGTTTGTGTATGTATACGAACACCCCGTGAGAAATGTGATCACTACACACTGCAAACATATAAAAATTAAAATTAAAAAAGGCCTAAGAGGGGGCCGGGGAGATGGCTTAGTGGAATATGCGCTTCCCTGGCAAGCGCAAGGACCTGAGTTCAATCCCCAGTTCCGCAAAAAAAAAAAAAAAGACCTAAGACTCGGCATCTAGAACAGGGGTCTTGATCATCCACATAGCACTCTGCCAGTCACAGGCTGCACCTCTACCCTTGCCCACTGACGCCTCATCACGCTACAGGACTTCTCAAGTGAGCGGGTTTGCACCTCAAGACCCTGGAATGTGCAGGTGGGTAGCTTCCTCCTGGCACCAAGAACCCAAGGCAAGTCAGGATGGGGAGGAAAGAGGGGGGACGGATGGACTGACAGATGGACAGATAACTACTACAGCAGGCACTTCTAGCTGGATGGACTTTAGAAGCCGCTGGTCTGCCAATGGTGACAATCACAAAGCGCAGCAGGAGAGTACAAGGACCCTGGGGTACTAGGTAGACCCCTTCTAGAGGCCCAAGGCTACCTCCCTCTAGATGAAGAGAGGCAGCAAGGGGTCAAGGGTAGGACTGAGATTCTGAAGCCAATGTTAGGGGAGTAAGGGGTCAGCTAGGAGAAAAAGGAAAACCACGCTGCCTGGGGCATTCACAACACAGACAGCTCTTCCCTAGGCACCACCTGTACAGAGAGCCCCCACCCTCAGCATCCACCCGACCCTGTACTCCAGTCAAGGTCTGGGAACATCAGGCACAGAAATCACAAACTGGCAGCCGTGGGCCAGATTCGCCCTCACACGCTTCTGATTTAAGAGAAAAGAGTGATCAGAAACTGCACTCAAGCCAGGATAAGCCGAGGGCTGGGGGAGGCAGTCCAGGGCCTGGCCCCCAGGACACCTGGCCCCAGCTTCTAATAGGGCACCCCTTTGCTAGGCACCCCAGAGAATCTGGCCACCTTCTCTGCTGGTCCCATTTCAACCCAGCCACTCTGACTCTCAAGAGCCTTAGCTTTGGCGCCTGCTACTCGGCTTCAGGCTTCAGGCTTCAGGCTTCAGGCTGGCGGGATATCACAGGCCCTGTCACAGCTCAAAGGCTAGGCAAGCTGGGTAAAAGGAGCAGAGCCCAGTGGGCCTCAGGGATCAGGACTGTCTCCAAGGTCACCGTCCACCTTATAGGGTGTCCCCTCCAGTCCCGCAGTCTGGTCCAGCAGATAAGGTCCCTTCTTGGAAATGGGGGTGGGGTGGGAGTGAAGTCAGGACAGAGAGGCAGAGCAGGAGTTTGGTGAATGATAAAGAGGTACCAGCTATGGGAGGAGGGGCTTTGGTGCGGGGGCGCTTGGGGCAGCAGTGCCCCAAGAAATCTGTGGAAACACAAGGCCGCTCAGGGCCAGCACAGCAAGCCCGGGCAGGGCCACTCAAGCCAAAGGAGGGATATTCCAGCTTCCCATGCTAGGCAAGAACAAGAGGCCATGTTTTCCTTCTACCAGCCGATAAGCTGTAGCAAACAATTATTTTTGGCAACTATAAGATTCCCCTTGGACAACATAAACAAACCCCACCTCGCCTGCCCCATAATGACCACACAGCACACAAAAACTGCTATGACTGTGTGGACAAATTTACAGGGCCCAAACTAACACAGGCTGCAGTCAAGAAGCAGGAGAAGGGGCATCCCTTCTTTGGACAGCACATAGGGGGGTACCCCGCCTTAGGAAAAGTCCTCCTGCAATGCCCTGACACACTGTCCTTGGCTGGGGGGGGGGGGCACACATCACCTGTCAGCTCAATCTTTAGGAAGAAGAGAGGAAAACAAGAGGTAGATAGAAGGAAGAGAAGAAGAAAGTAAAGAGAGAAGGAATAAAAGAAAGAGGAGAGAGTTTAGGAAGGAAAGCAGTCAGACAGGAAGTGAAAGAAAAGACAGAACTCAGAAAGGGTGGAAAACAAGTGGGAAAGAAAGCGGAAGAAATGAAAGAAAATGTGGGGGGGAAGAGGAATAAAAAGCAGGCAGGAGAAAAGATGAAGAAAAACTCGGAAGGAAGAAAGCTGGAAGGAAAAAGGGCAAAGGAAAGGAGGAATAAAAACAAGTGGGAAGAAAGACAAAAGAGAAAGGGAAATGAAAAAAGGAAGAGGAGGAAAAGCGGAAGAAAGGGAGGGAGGGAAGGAGGAAGGGAAGGACGGAAGGAGAGAAGGAAGGAAGGAAGGAAGGAAGGAAGGAAACAAGCAAGCAAGCAAGCAAGCAAGCAAACGCCAGGCTCGACCCTAGACCCACACTCACTTTTTCACGTTGGCCTCGCCATTGGGGATGCGCCGAAGCTTCTTCTTCTTGAGGATCTTGACGGCCCTGCGGCACAGCGTCTCGGAGTCGAGCACCTCCTTCACCTTGCCGTAGGAGCCCTCGCCCAGCAGGTCGCCCATCAGGTACTTCCCGATGAGCTTGGCGCGCTTCCGGCGCGGCTGGTAGATGACCTCGGTGGAGTCGATGCGGTGGATGAAGGTGTCCATACCCACGGCGATCAGCTCACCCTCAGGGAACAGGCTCGGTGGTTGCGGGTCGGCCACGTCCATCCTGGGCCCGGCGCCAGGAAGACCTCCACGCCTCCCACCCCTTGTCCCCTCGGTCCCCCTGACGGGCGACGCCTGCCTCCGGCCTTGGCTTCCCTTCTCCAAACGTTTAAAAAAAAAAAAAAAAGAAAGAAAGGTAACGGACAGACCCCCACCCCCCACCCCCCGCCAAGTCCACGGGAAGTCTTCCTGCGACGGTCGCGGCTGTCCCCGGGCACTGAGGCTCTAGGTCATCATCGTCCAGGAGCTCGGCCAAGGCGGCGAACGCGCTGGGGCCCGTCCGCGCCGTCCATGCCCGGCCCCGCGCTCTCCACCGCCGCGAGCCCGGGACCACCGGCCGTCGGCCGCCACCGGGAAGCCGGGGCGATGCAGGCCGCAGGCTCCAAAACAGGCTTCCAAAGGCTGACTGAACCCGGGCGTCGCGTCCCCCTCGCCGCGGCAGCCGCGCGAAAGCAGGAGGCGCGGCGGCGAGGGGGGATCCAGCCCATGCAAGGCTGCCCTCGAGGGCCGCCGGCGCCGCCCTCCCGGCCCGGAACCTCACTCCCGGGCGCTCCGGATCGCCTCCCCCTTCCGCGCCCGACACGACACCGCCATCTTGTTTACCGCCCTGCGCCCCGCCGCGGGCGCACGCCCCGTCGTGGGACACGCCCCCACGCGGCGCGGATGTGCGCAACCGTTGGCTGCAATTACTGGCACCTCCCCTTTGGCTCGCCCCCGCTGTCGCTGATGATTGGACCGTTTGGATCCGGGTGGGCGCCCGAGCGAGGATTGGTCGACTATGGGCTCTGCCCAGAAGGCGGAGACGAATCTCTGATTGGTCGACGGAGATGCCCGTCAAGGAGAAGGTGGACGGAAAGAGGACACGGGAGGGCTAGGCACTCTACCCTCAGTGAGGTTTGGGGCTGATGTCGGAGGTTACTGTTGCTAACGATCTCCGTGAAGTGGATGCGGGTTAGTGGGAAGTTCGAAGTCACGGAGAGTCCGAGAGCAAGGGCCCCACACCAGCCAGATCTGTTCACGAACCCTCTTTGGGTGGGGTCAAAGGTCAAAAAGTAGCCTAAAGTGGCCAATTCGGTGCCAAGACTTTATCAAGCGCGGGTGGGGCTGGAGGGGCGGAGACGCACACAAAACGGGCTCTGCCCTGACCTGGCGGGGAGAACTGGGAGGGCAGCTGGCATCGTGTCAGGAGTACTTTAGGTGCAAAACATGAAGAGCTGACAAATATGGCTTGATAAGGTTGAGATCGCCCCTATCTGTGCCCGGCAGTGTTTTCTCCCTCGCTCTTTTTTTTTAAGTTCTGAGAGAAGATTGTCTCACCAAGTTACACAGGTTGAGCTCGAACTTGGGATCCTCCTCCCTGAGACTCTTGGGTAGCTGGGATGACAGGTGGATGCCTCGATGGGTTGTTCACTCTGCACTATTGTGCTAGGACAATCATCCTGTCTTGGAGGCTCTGAGGATGCTGTTAGTCCCTCTGCCTCTGGCTTCTCATCTGTAAAATGGGCTCAGGAACCAAATTTTTTTTTGGGGGGGAGTGCTTGGAGTTCTTGCATTTGGGGGTTCGTGTTTTTGTGCTGAGAACTGAACCCCAAGCTGCTTTTTTTTTTTTTTTTTTTTTTTGAGACAGGATTTCATGCAGTTCTGGCTGGCCTTGTGCTCACTTTTGTAGTCTCTAGGCTGGTCTCAAACTGGCAGAGATCCTCCTATCTCAACCTCCCGAGTGCTGGGGGTTATAGGCATGCGCCACCACGCCCAGTTCGAACCCCAAGTTTCTTGCCTGTTAAGCACACTTCACACACGTTGAACTATGTTCTCAGTCCCTTTGGGTGGCCTCTCTCTCTCTCTCTCTCTCTCTCTCTCTCTCTCTCTCTCTCTCTCCTGGGATGAAACCTAGAGCCTCCTATATGTTAATCAAATGCTCTACCAATGAACTACATCCCCAGCACCTTTCATTTTGAGCCATGGTCCCGTTAAGTTGCCCATGCTGGCCTTGAATTTCCGAACCCTTTTTGCCTCAGCCTGAGTAGCTGAAGTTACAGTTATACCATTGAGCCTGGTGTCTTGGGGTGTTTGTGAGGGAAACCACTTCAAGCAGCTTTCCCATTAATCCCTTGAATTTGGCTCCCTCAGATTAATCAGTATGCAGTCCGGAGGATGGAACCAAGGGCCTTTGCACTGAGCATTCCAACCCAATTTTTATTTTGAGAATAGGTTTTTTTTTTTTTTTTTTGAATCGGGGATTAACTCAGGCCCTTGCACTTGCCAGGGAAGTGCTTATTCCACTGAGCCATTTCCCCGGCCCCTCACTAAATTATTAGGGGCTTTTGGGTTTTTTTTGGGGGGGGGTGGTACTAGGGATCAAACTCAGGACCTTATGATTGCCAGGCAAGCACTTACTCCACTGAGCTATCTCCCCAGCCCTTCATTTTGAGACAGAGCCTCCAAGTCATCAAGTTGTCCAGGCTGGACTCAAACTTGCAGTTTTGTCTCAGTCTCCCAAAGTGCCGGGATGATGGGCCTGTGCCATCAGGCCCTGCTGACATGAGCTTTAACGTGTTCATTAAAATACTTGGCAAGCCAGGCGTGGAGGCACAGTTCTGTCATCCCAGCCCTTGGGAGACTGAGGCAGGAGGATCACAAGTTCAAGATTGGCCTGAACTACACAGTAAGAGCCTGTATTAAAAAAAAAAAAGTTTGGATGGATCCCAGGCGCGAGCAGGCTATGTGGACTCCTGTGGCCACTAGAGGGGGCACGTGGACTGCAGCAAAGGCATGCCGGTCTGGGGACCAGTGACCCCCACCTCTACCCTGACCCTACATACTGACCTTCGCAGCAAGACGCTTGGGATTGACACAGTTTGCTGGGCTTTATCATATTGCTACAGATGGAGCAGCAATCCTAGAACACACACATTCATGTCACCATCTGTCACCCCCTACACACTGGGGACACTGGGGCCGGCTCATTGTCTATGCAGATATTCCTGGGCGCTACAAGGTGCCAGACAGCTTCACTGGCCTCCACCTGCTCCATGACAGGAGGTCCCCCAGTTGTGACAATCATATATGTTCTCCAAAGCCATCAAGAGTTCCCTGAGGGGCCGGGGACATGGCTTAGTAGAATAAGTGCTTGCCGGGCAAGCGCAAGGGCCTGAGTTCAATCCCCGGTTCCGCAAAAAAAAAAAAAAAAAAAAAGAGTTCCCTGAGCATAGAGTTGTTCCTCATACGAAAGACCCTCAGTGAAAATCCACACTGCCGCCGTTCTTTGTTTTGTTTTGGGTTTTGGCACCAGGAATAGAACTCAGGACCTTGCATTTGCCAGGCAGGTGCTATGCCAATGAGCTCTACCCCTACCCCTTGTTTTGTTTTTGAGACAGGGTGTCTGTGTTGTTCAGTCACTTTTTTTTTTTTCATTTTATTTATTTATTTATTTATTTGTGTGTGTGTGTGTGTGTGTGTGTGGCCAGCTCAGCCCACCAGGGGGCGGGCTGGCAGGCATGGGGTGCTGGGGGATTGAACCGCGGTCCCTGTGCTTTGCTAAGCTTGTTCTAAGTAGGTGCTTTAGACCACTGAGCCATCTCATCAGCCCCCATTCAGTCACTTTATATACAGACTTTTCATCACTCTTCAAGGTCTATCCAAAACATAAATATCTTTGTTTTTATACCTATCTCCTTCTCAACCCTATGCACCCCCAAGTCCACTCCCTGTTTCTGGGTTCGCCTGTCCTGGGCATTGCCTGTCCACAGAGCCCACACTGTGTGACCTCTGTCTGGCCTCTTTCTCTCTGAGCATAGTGCCCTCAAGGTTCATCCATGATGTGGCAAGAGTCATAGCCACACTCCTTTTCTTGGTTGAGTAATATTCCAGTTGGGACAAACCTTGCTACATGTCCCTCTGTCCATCTATGGACAGTGGAGTTAATGCCAACTTCTGGCTGCTGTGAACATGTGTACATGTTTGTATGAATGTATTTTTTCATTTCTTGAGGGCAGGTATCAAGGAGTGGAATTACTGGGTCTTAAGAGCTGGGAGGGTGAATTTGTTTTTGTTTTTATTTTGTGGTACCAGGCCTTCCCACTGAGTTTACATCCCCAGACCATACATATGTGTGCTTCTGGATACCAGGAATCAAACAGAGAACCTTGTACTTGCCAAGTAGGCACTTGTGCCACTGAGCTATCTCCCTGGCCCTACCTAGACCTTTAAAAAAAAATCATGTTTTGAGACAGGTACTAAGTTTTTCAGGCTGGTGTTGAACTTTTAATTCTCCTGCTTTACCCTCTAAGAATGTTGGGACTGTTGTAGGCCACTGCAGTCAGCTTACCAGGCTGTTTTCTTCATTGGTTGCACAAGTGAGCAGGTCACCTCCTCAAAAACTTAAATTAGGGGGCCAGTGAGATAGCTCAATAGTCTAAAGTGCTTGCTTAAGCAAGCTTAGGCAAGCTCAGTGACCACAGTTCAATCCCTGGCACCACATTCCCCAGGGCTGGCTGAGCCAGCCACACAAAAAAAAACAAACAAACTTAAATTAGTACAAAGAAAGAGAATGGCAAATTCTAGACAGTGGAACTGAGCATGGTGGCACACACTTGTGATCCCAGCACTCAGGAAGCTGAGGCAGGAGGATCACCCAGAGTCCAAGGCCAGCCTGGGCTACTTAGTGATAGCCTATCTCAAAAAACAAGGGCTGGTGAAATGGCTCAGTGGTCTAAGGCACCTACTTAGAACAAGCTTAGCAAAGTACAGGGACCGCGGTTCAATCCCCCAGCACCACATGCCAGCCAGCCCCGACCCCTGGTGGGCTGAGCTGGCCACACACACACGTAAATAAATAATTTTTTTAAAAAAAAAACAACAAGCAAATTAAAAAAAAAAGATATAACAAGTCTAGACTGTGGGAAACATAACAGGAAAAACAACTGATTTTCATGAAAACCAAACCACAGGAAAGAAAAACTGAGAAAAAAATTGGGGTGGGGAGGGCGAGCTAAAAGATGACAGATGAACATCCGACGCTCACAGGATGTGAACCTTCCCTGAACCTGAACCCAAGGCACAGCACAGAGAACTGCACACAGTATACATGACAGCCTGGAAGAAGCAGGCCCCTCTGGGCAGTCTATGTGATATTTAGGAACCATGGTGTTCAGGGCAACAAACGTATGATCTCATGTAAAGCAGAAAGGGGGACACGCGACTCAATAGTGAGCTCTTGCCTGGCACGCACAATGCCCGGGATTCCCTTGCCAGCAACCAAGCCAAAAATCAATAAAAGAGCCGGGCTTGGTGGCACAGGACTGTAATTCCAACACTTGGGAGGCTAAAGTAGAAGGATCGTTAAGAGTTTTAAGATCAGCCTGGGCTACAAAGTGAACTCAAGGCCAGCCTGAACTACATAGTGAGACCCTGTCTCAAAAAGATGAAATAGGGCTGGAGAGATGGCTCAGTGTCTAAAGCACCTATTTGGAACAAGCTTGGCAAAGCATCAGGGACCGCTGTTCGATCCCCAGCACCACATGCCAGCCAGCCCCGCCCCCTGGTGGGCTGAACTGGCCACACACACACACCACACTCTCTCTCTCTCTCTCTCTCTCTCTCTCTCTCTCTCTCTCTCTCTCTCTCTCTCTCTCATAAAT